GATCGTCTCTTCTCAGAACGCCCGACGGCTACCTCCCTAATTACTTCGGGGTTGGATTCCTGTGGGTACCTGGCAAGAGTTCCTTAGCGAGACACGGGATCTGCGTCGTCGCGCTTGGGAAACTTCACTTGAATTCCCAAGTTCCGCGTTCTCTTGACCGTCGTCTTCTCGATTCGCTTCTTCAGCACCGTTCCGTATTCTACATCACAGTGATGTTTAAATATTACGGAAAGTCACAGGTGTCGATCGCGTATCCTCCGAAATCGGATAATCCAATTAAAAAGTAACACACAGATATATCCGATCGAGTCGTGCCTTTATCCGATGGAAATTACATCGGATGTATAAAGGGCGACCGATTTTCCGATTCAATTTCATCGGTAACTGCGTCGGTAATTTCATCGGATAAAGGCACCCATCACTTGATCGGACAATAAAAATAACAATCGGATATATCATTTCACCAGTTTATCCGGTGGAAATTTTCTCAGTGTATCTCTTCCCGACGGCAATCCCTCTCGGAATATCTCCGAGCTTCACGACGCGGCAATTATTTTTATGATACTTGAAATTTCGCGCATCTGATGCTTCTATCGATAGTTATCCTCGCGATATCCCTTATTAAAGAATACTTCGATTCACTCGAGGTAATGTTCACACAAGCATGATACGCACAATTCTACCGTAAACGAGAGTCGATTATTTAAATCGCTATGCCACATTCGCCCGTCGACCACCGTCGTTATTACGAAACCGCGCGAGTGTCAGAAAGTACTCGAGAGTTCGGATCGTGACTTTTCCCCGCGGATAACTTTCCACGCGCGCCATCACCGACGATTTGTCACGCCGCGAAAATTTCCTCGGCTTTCTACATGTACGTGCCGTAGGAAAAGTGAGAGTCAAACGTACGAAATTTTTAGAAACCGTCTTATAACGTTTACCGTTATAAGTCCGGTTCCTTTTTCCTGATCGTCGTTTCGGTTTTACTCGCGACGCCGCCCGAACAACGAAACGTTTGAACGTTTCCTTCGCTTAAAAATGTATATTAAACTCTAATTTCAATCTACTTCTTCAGGATGAGAAATGCCTCAAAACGTCGGAAACGAATTCACGAATGAGACGTGGCGCTAATTCGAAAGCCAAATTAAGTACTTCTCCATACTGCGAAAGTCTAAAATCAGATCGAAAATAAATCATCGATGGAAAACCGAAGCATCCCTAAGCGAAAGCGAGGAAGGATTCTCCCGAGCGTGCATACATGTGTACGCATACACACGCACGCTCGCGGAATGTTTGCTCGTAACGGCCGACGTAGTATCATCCTCCAGAAATAACCCGTGTCCTTTTTCGAGAGAGGTGAGGACACGGTGGGAGGTGAGATCGTCACCGTAAAGACAGGCGTGCGATAAGGCCGTGATCGATTCGCGCGGTGCTCGAACGTAAACCGAATTTGACGTACGCACGGGCGTGGCCGGCGCGGCCTTTAATCCTTTCGCCTCTAATGGGTTATAAACGCCTTTCCTTTCCTCGTAAGGGACACGCCGGAGGCCAACTCTAAGAAGAATATACGATCGCTTCGACGTCACGGCACCGATCGTTTGTCTCGAGTTACTAGCTGCTTGTCTAATTTCACCGACCGTAGAATCGTCTTCGCCTTTCTCGAAGAGGAGGAGATATATGGGAAATATGAGGGTAGTTCACGAAGAGAGAGAGAGAGAGAGAGAGAGAGACTCGTTGTGAAATCACTACCGACTCGTTTCTGCCACGACTAGTGGACTTGGAACCCATGATTAATTATTAAAGCGTAAATTTTTGCCGCTTAAAACGAATAGAGAAACGTTCGTTGTTGCTGCTGGAAGGCTGTTACGGCGCAGACCAAGACGGTTAAGGCAGAGGCGAGCGAGCTTCGTACGTACTTACCGTCAGCCAAATGCGGCTTTTCCCGTGTTCTCCAAACAGAGGGAAACGAGAACCGGTGAAAATCGTCTTTCGCAAGCGGCGTCTCGAGAGATATACCGTTGCCGGCGCGATCGACTCGCGCAAGAAGCCTCCCGTCGCAAAAACGGCGCCGTCTCTCCAAAGCAGTCTTTTTCGGGCACGACGGTCTCTTCGAGACGTTAAAACACGAGGCGGTAAGCCGTCATGCATTATTTACCAAACGCCATGGATCGCTGCTTGCAGATGCAGTCACATTCCGCCCACCGAAATTATGCGAATAGCTCATGCAAATAATTCGAGGAGGTGGCATCTCTTCGGCTCGTGACGTTACGATCGGCGGTAGGAGCGCGCGAATTAAACCTTCGCTGCGCTTCTCGCGGGCCGAAAAATCGCACGCACGATTCCCATGCCCTTTTGTGTGTAATTTTAGAAGATATATCAAGCCGCTGCGAGCGTGTCACTTTTTGTCGCACCGATTCGAGTAATTTAACGAGCTATTAAATCGCCCCGCGTGACACATGACATTGAAATAATAAGCACAATATTAAATTAACACACGGGCATGTGAAAAATTCAATGCAAAAATTTCAACAAGGGCCGATTTTAACACAAGTACAAAATATTATTTCTTACCGTGTACAGTAAAATTAACTGCAAAAATCATTCCCGCAACTGTAATAATTTCACCGTGCAATTAAAAATATCAAACGCTTTTCTCTCAGTGCGTTTTTGCGAAGACGAACGATGTCGTGGATCTCTGATTTTCCAAACCACATGCTTGTTCTCGCAAGTCATTTTGAGCGCTCTTGGAAAATGAAAATCTGTTTCGAGCGGGCAACGAGGTTACACGCTCGGATTCACACACGACGCGGACTACAATGTGAATTCTTTTTCTTATCGCACGGTTGATGCACGCGCGCGACGATTTAACGCACGACTTCATAAGGATGGCCAACGATTACCGTCGGTATTAACCATGCGATACCGCGGATAAAACACACGTTCGTCCGGTAAAAAGTATTAACCGTTCGCTCACGATTAGCGAATCACAATTATTTTCCGCCTGAGATATATTTCCGCGTAACGCCTTAAGGTTGATATCACGCACTGTTGCGATCGGAATCTCGGGACTTTTGCGTCCGCAGGAAGCCGATCTGCGTGTCCATGTCCGTTTCTGTATCGCCGTTCAGGCGATATTTTTTTTCCTCTCTTTGTATCGCTGCCCGAACGGATCTTCCTGAAATTAGTATGATAAACGACGCCTATAAATGTTCCCCCTAATCACCCCGTAAAATGCACGCGCCGCACACGCGACGCGCGGCCGTGTTGCATCGTCCGTGGAGCGCGGCATCGCGTAACCCGTTCGTTCTGCTTCACTTTACGGCAACAGCGGCCGCAAATTTCCCCGCTAAATTGCACGCCGCGATATTGTTCGCGCGGCGAGGCGCGCGCGGGCAATTATTTCGCCGCTAAGAGGCGGCGAACCGTTATCGGTGCCGACTCTGCCTTATCTCTCGCTTGAAAATCCAAGGATAATCTCGAATCAAGCCACTCCGCGAAACGAATGTCCCGGCTACGGTGTACAGGTGTACACGCCATTCGCGCGCCGCTTGTCTAATGCATTCCGCATTCTCGAAAAACGCTGCGCGCTCGCGGCCCGCTCGCGGTGACGGTCGCCGCGGCTCGATGAAGCTCGGTCGGGTGTAAACTCCTCTCCGTGAATGGCCTCTATACTCCGTGGGCTCATGACATAATAGTTTCACTACGTGCGGCGCATACGTGTGAGAAGGAGATATGCGGAAGGGGCCGGAGACGAGAGAGAGGAGCTTCACGAGTTCGTGTGTGTGTGAGAGAGAGAGAGAGAAGCGGAGGCATCGACCAGCGCGCGTCGGCGGGTCCCCACCGGCCCAAAGAGACCAACAGAAATCACACACGGCCCCGATTCTCGTATTACCGGAAGTGACGCGACGCACGTCATCTTTCTCAAGCGCCTCGCGGCTAACCCCGCGATGACCGCCTCCGCTGGGCTCCAATCTGTCAATCTAGCCTTTAGACTCGGTCTCACGTTGATAGATCGTGCGTGTTCCCGCTTGTGCGTTCATACGGTGAACCACAAGCGGAAGAGAGAAAGAGAGAAAATAGCGGATGCGTGTGTAGGACTCGACCATGCGAATGATATGCCCGGCTATGGCACGCACGATCATAAACATCAATGACGAATCTTATTCGGACTATTATCATGATTAATTGGATGCTAATATCTATTGTTTCTTTCGACCATAAGCGTATCGGTGATTTAAACGTTGTCTCTCTCGATCCAAGCGGTCGTGTGTGATTACTTGCGAAGAGATATATTGGAAATGTTCCGCATACAATTCGATGAAATTAATGAAAAATGTCAATTGAAGGAGGAGAGAGCGTGTTGAAAAATACAGAGCCATAAAGAGCATCTGATAGCACAAAGCTTTTGTTTGAAACATCTTCTCGTGTATCTCACAATTTCAAAGATATTCCGCTCACGATTAATTTTAACGAATTTCCTCCGAGGGACTGTTTCTCAACGTTTAAGTGCGCGAGAAAGCGCGCATAAAAAAAATAAAATTCTCTTTTAGCTGCTCCATACAATATATCTGAAGCTCATGAAAATTGATGAGGGACATTTCGATATGTTTCCTTGTTAGACCGCAACAGCCGTTGCAACGGAAAGAAACGCGCGATGTCGCAGCGACCTATAATCCGGCGGAAAAGTTACGAGCGAGACTTAACGGGCTCGCTTGTTGCCCCGCTAATTTATCGGGTACTCGACTTCGCTCGCGGGCAGCTTTTCGGGATCGTTTATTTATCCCTCGGCGAACAAAGTTGTTCGCGCGCCGAATGTACACAACCGACGACGCGTCGGTTGATCGTGCGTTCTCGAGAGGTTTTCGAGAGTGAGCAATGCCCGAGGAAACACACTCGAGGCCCCGAAAGAGCGAGACGGAGAGACAAGAAAGAAAGAGGAAGAGAAGAAGAAGAGAAAGAGAGAGAGAGAGACGAGGCGTGCTCTTGGGAACACGTATTACCTTAGTATGGAGGAACGCCAGGGACTTGTTCACGTTCTCGATTTTGTGAACTCGCATGCGTCCGTTGTTGGGCTTGGCCAATCGTTCGCCGGAGATGATCTCCAACAGCTTCAGCAGCTTTTTGCCATCTGCGAGGTCGGTGAACAAATCGTCCACCTCCATGCGCGCCTGAAAAAATCAGATCGGATTTCGATCATGGTTATTAAACAGAATCTACTCCCGTCCCTTTCCCGTCTCCGGATCAACCAAGAACACGAAAGTTAGTCGAAGCTAATCGAAAGTTAGTAACAGATTGAATAATCGCTTTGAAAATATGAGCAACAATGAATCTACTTTTGGCAGCGTGAATCTATGAAAAGGACGCGCTGTAAATTCGTTGTTAATATTCCGGGCGGATTCGTTCAGCTATCTTCGATCGGTGCGGCTTCAAACGACGAGCAAATACACAGAGTTAATTTTATTATACACACGGCATGCACGCGCACAAACACATCACCCCGGTGTTTACCTTCAACAGAAACGAGTTGATCCATTTGGTGAACGTCTTCTTCTGGATGTGCAGACGTTCCTCCTGCAGGGCCTTGATGCGGCCCTGCTCGAACTTGAGAACGTCCTCCCTCTGAGTCATTCTCTTTTGTATCTGCGGGCCGCCCCTGTATCTGTCGGCTCTCGATGGTGGATATTCGAAGTCGAAGCTACGGATCCTTCCTTGGGGTGCGGCGCTTGGCCCGGCGCCGGGCACATACTGCGCCCCTGCAACCGAAAGTGTGTCCGCTTTTGGAAAGTCCTGTTAGCGTGTACGTGTTAATGTAAACACAGGATGTGCGAAGCGGAAACGCAACCGTAAATGTTCGCCAGATGAAGACTCGCGCGCGCGCGACTGGCGTGCGCGTTTCCTTTCTGGCGAGCACGTGCTTGAAAATATTTTCTCTTTTCTCCCCCTTTCTCATGAGCACCATGGTGGTGTTCGCGTGGGCCACATGGGATGTAAATAGACGTCGAGGTTAATTGACGACAAATAACGAATTCAAGATGCGAAGGCTAGCTTTCCGGGTAGCTCCGGGAAGCCGCGCTTCTGGGAACTCGAGTCAAGGATTTCTCGAATTAGACCGGAATTTCTGCTGGCACAGAGACCGACATGATAGCTTGAATCATCCGGCGACGCAATAGCAATTAGGATTTTTCCAGTCATTTGCGTTCGAGGAAATGACAATGATATTCCAATTATTATTTGAAAAGAGTAAGTTTGTAATGTGAGACATAAAATCAGATATAAAACAAGAACTCATATTTAATATATTTTTACGGCTTCGTTGAATAACTCACAATCATAAAACACAATTATGTAGACACGATACGTGTGATCGAAGAATCCCGGTAACCTTTGTTTAGCAAACGTTAAGACTGTTATGTTTGTGTATACTATCGCGAGCAATCCAAGTTAACTGTTCAAGAAGGTTAAATAAAATGTGCAAAACAAACTGCGGGCGAAGCAATATATCAAGTCTTCCTTTAAAACGTAGAAGTCAACAAATCTCTAAAAATACGAGTCCTAGCTAGGCGAACGTTTACGCGGGGACGCTGCGAGGATGCAAATGAAGAGTTAAAGAGGACGAATCGTCGCGACGCAGCGTTGATTTAGAGCCGACGAATACTTTTAATTGCAAATAATTGCCGAGACCCTGAGAACCCGTTTGTGGGTAGTATATTGTGTTCGCGGAATGGTCACGAATTTTATCGACGCGTTGCAAGCGACCTTTTCGCGAAGTTACGTCGATACCGTCGTCTCTTCGATCGATTCCACATTCCGATTCGCACGAGAACAGGCATTTCATTGTAATAACCATCGGACAATGATTTACTGGCCGGATGGTAGTTTAATTGAAAGCAAAAGACTCGTATCCGCGAGTAGCTTCTGTAACTGATGACCTTTTATTATCTTGAAATATAACGCAGCGACGTTCCGCCGTTGCAATATTGCGCCGTCAATTCATCGTGACTTATCGAATAGCTCTAGTCGATAAAGAATCGCCGAGTTATCTCTCCCGATGGAATTCGACCTCGCTTGATTAAAATGCGTATTGGAATTCTTTTTATTGTGTGTGTACGTGTGTATGCGCTCACATGATAATAATAATAATATCTAATTTAATAATAGATAAATATATGTGGTAACATTTGAAAATACAAAGAGCAATATTTGATAATACAAGATAAGCATAATATTTTACGAATAAAAGTAATGTCGTATTGCGTGTGTGTATATATTTGCTCCCTTGAAATTTTGTATTTAGAACGAATTTTATTAACAACTGCATTTACTTAACACTTAACACTTTTAAGAGCGTTTCATCATTTTAGATAACTACAGTTAAGAAAGTTTAGAAGAGCTGTCCGTTTTATCTCGTTTCTTTTCTCTTTGATATCTACGCGGGAAAGCGATAAGGCGTATCACACGAGAGCATGCGATAGGATTGCCATACAAGAGTGGACATTGTACGACGTTTAGGACGTGGGAGCAAACCTCGACACTCTTCGCGCGAGAGAAACGGCCAACGAGCATCCTTCTTGGAAGGATGAACGAGCTGTGATAACTTTTACGAGTAGCAGTATTTGCGCAGAAGGAAGATAAGCGAGGGAAGAGTCGAAAGCTGTACACACCAAAGTCAATATCCGAAGGCCGATACCGGGGACGTGAAAGTATTCGCGACGGCTCTAATCCGAATTTACGAGATTACCGGAGGATTAAATTGATCGAAAACGCCTGGGCAAATATTGACTGCGCTAAGGGGGAAAAAAAGAAAGGAGAAGAAAAATTACGGCTTCTCGGAAGACGAGGCGATAAATTCCGACGGGGATGGATATGGCCGCGAATTAACTTCTTTGCGATGACGGTGCTCATAAATATTGTATTTTCGAACAAGACAACTGTCACGTTCCGGTGAGACGAATTTTTTGAATCCTGTTGAACATTTCCAGGTGGATTCCCACTACGGAGATCCAACGGGACTCACGTGAATCCATATGGAATTATTAAAAATCCATACAGGACCACAGAATCCACATGGTGTGTGAAAATTCATATAGAAATCCACATAGGGTTACTTAGGACCCGAGTGTGACGCAAATCCCCAGAGGCAACCATGGGATTTCATATGGATTTCCTATATGGATTCTTACCTGGTTTTTTCTTTTTTTCAACGGGGGTTATTATTAGTGGAGAACGAGCATATTTCGTTATTACAGTGTTAGCGGTAATAACCTTACATACGTATTACTATTTTTTGAGTTAAAACCAGAAGAAGATATAGATGCGGCCGAAAATTACTATAATTTTAGCGGGATTTCTCTCAGCGCGGGACGCGAAGCCCACATCTCACGCGCGACAACCCGATAATAAGAGCAAGTGCACAAACGATGACCGTGCTCTGCTCGAGGCGGCGACTCGTTTCTTGCGGGGCACTCGTGACTCGGCGGGATTATTGTCCTCGCTTATTGTCACCGGCCGGCACCATATAGTCGCTGTCGTAAATTTTTTCCCAGCCTCTAAAAGGACGCGCGAACGTGAACGCGAATGCGATTCGTCGGCCGGGCGCGAAAGAAAGGGAACGACACTCGAAAAAAAGCACGCGCAACTTTGAAGTGTCAATTATGGCAGCTGCGTGCAGGCGGCTGCACGTGCAGGACGATAGTTAATGTGCGCCTGCACGTGCGAGGCGCTCGTAGTTCCGTTTCCACGCGGCTCAACGTTGGACCGTCGCACGCCACAGCTCGAAGCTGTCAATTTGTCGAACGAGTTACTAGTTTTTTGTTTACCCACGACTTTTCTACTCTCCCTTTAGAATTTTCATCATTATGAAACGCTAACGGAAATGTCCAGGAGTGTTCAGATCTGGAAGACTACGCTGATAGATAATTACAGTTATTTTCGGCACCAATTGTATCTCATAGTAGTAGCAATATGCACGTGAGGTTATTATCACTGACGCTATAGTAACACTTATTAGAACAATTTCCCGATACTATCCTGATGGTTAAAGTAAAAAAATGGTTTAGGGCTGAAAATAATTATAATTTTCTATGAGTGTAAGTTTTCAGAATTTGCGGATATGTCTATACTCGAGAATCGATCTTGAAAAGTGTGCGATGCAAGTCGCCACAGGGGTACAGAAGTCGAGTGGAAAGTCCTCGCCATTGAAAAATCACAAGCGTGTCGGTGTCTCCCTCCCCGCGACGCGAAACTTATTCGCGTTTTGGAGTAACAAGGACGCGAGTCGCGTATTAAGGGACACGCTTTCACGAGCCGGCGGAATTCGTTTGCATGCGCAGGTTTTTAAATGTCACGTCTGGTCCGCTCGCGGTGGCATGTCACGCCCGTACGTTCGTCGCACGCCCGCCGCCTATAGCTCGTTTCGAAAGTGGATTAAGCGCGACATCCTCGCGACGCGTCGCGTTTTGAGCGACGCGCTTTCACGCGTAGTGACGCATCAAGCCGCGAAAGTATCGCGAAAGACCGCCGGTGCCGGGAAGTATTCTCACAATTTTCCGAATTTCCTAGTACTACAAATAAAAGTCTGGCAATAAAGTTGTCGCGAACTCATCATGGTCATTTCAAAATAATCCCCTTGTACACCGATGTCAGCGCCTTGTCCACTTTCCAAAACAGTGTTGGAAACTGTTTTTGGAAAGTGACCTTCGGAACTGCCATCGTGTTATTCTTAATATTATCGATGTCATTCAAATGCTTTTAAATTCCTTTCCAAGTTTATCTTGGGAATAAAAAAAGTCATCTGACTGAATCAGGCATGTTTTTGTTATTCCCAAGGATAAAGAGAACATTAGAAGGGGGCATCACAATGATAATCAGCAATAACGTTAAATTAGGTCAGGTGGCAATATTATACCGTGACGAGTTCGCGAACTTTATCGTTAGGCCTCGTACATCGTGAAAAATTACGACCGAGAAAGCACGTCAGGCTTACTTTAAGATACCTCGGCCCACCCTATCTGTAATATCAATTTGATTTATAGCAGCACGTAATCGGTGACCGGGAGTATCTACAGTATCAGCGATTTATGATTCCCCGGGTCAATGACGCGGAGGATTTACGATACCGGCCGTCTATAATGGTAGCGGTCCGATACCGAAAGGCCCGGTCGTGCCCGGGGACCCACCGATGACGTTCCCGAAGAGACTCGATACCCTCACGGATCGGCTGCTCACCGTCGGTTCACGGTCAGACCCTTGGAGAGAGATCCGCAACGATACGTGAACGATGATTTATGACGCGCGGAATTTACGAGGACTCATGATGCCGAGCGATATGTAGCGTAGCTGCGGAGGATGGTGCTGCGACGAGAGCGGCCGGAGGAAGCCGTATGGGAGGGCAAGTGACGAGCAATAACATCGCGGCGGATTTGATTAGAGTACTTAGCCGGCCGGTGTGCGCGGAGTGTTCTCTAAGGCGGCCTGGTGTTACGGCAGCGTGTAACGCGACTGTAACACACGTACTTGGCGCGAATTCCTCGAGCGTGACGCCCGCGCCGCTGTGCTCCGTCTGCTTGCGTTAAGTACTTTTCGCACGAGCCGCGGCTCACAATGGCGAGATACAACGTGTAGCGCATCGGTAGCGACACATCACGAACGAGATGACACTGCTTAACCCCGTGGGAATCGGATCGGTCTCGACGGTGAGATAATATTTCCCCGGGTCTTCCTCGTTCCCTCCCACCGTCTCGTCGATTATCTCCGA